TTTTTTTTTTTTTTTTTTTTTTTTTTTTTTTTTTTTTTTTTTTTGAACATACCTCTCATCCATCAGGGCGAACTCACACTACCTCTGTCTAAAATGTACCTGACCGCATTTATGGCCGGACTTGCCTGCATCTGGCCGCAATTCCGTCCAGATGTAAGTAAAATCAGTTTTTCCCTCATTGTCGTTTTCCTTTTCCCTTTTTTTCCCGTCCTCCCTCTTGTGAATCAGTTTTATTATTATTAAAAAAAAAAAAAATCAGTGCCATTATTAGCATAAAAAAGAGGGCAATAAAGGAACTACTTAAATCACGAACATCGAGGAATTACACAGCATCTGGGGCCAAGTCCCACTTACCCGAAATCTCAACTTCTGACCGTAGATTTGGAAGATCAACGGCCCGACATGAAGAATCAGCGTAAGTGGGACTTGGCCCCTGCTCTCTCGACTTGTTTATCGTCAGCTCTCTTTGTTTGCATCCTGAAGTGCTTGTTTGGTCACTTGTCTTTGCTTTTCAGTTCCCCCGTACCTGGTCCACTTTCCCTCTGTCGCTTCTCACCTTGTTTCCCTGGCGTTCCTGTTCGTGGAATAAGATGAGTGGGGGATCTATTCTCTGTTGTATCTTTTTCTTTTTTCCCTTTTTTGAAATATATATCATCTTACTTGTCTTAACTCCCAAATCTCATTATCCCTAAAGCTAGCTACCATCCGGATCTCTCGTCCGGGGTTCCCCGACGTTTGAAAAATGGCCCTTCCAGCCATTCGATGCGCCACCTGAGCTGGGCAAGCCAAAGGCTGACCTTTGGGTCAATTTTGAAAGCTTTGGAAAAGAGAAAAAAGCCTTTTTCCTTTATCCTTTGAATATATCAAATGTTCTGGAATACGATTGACAGAGTTTATAATATTTTTATTATTATTTACAACTCTAGGAGGGTCAATTTTGAAAGCATTTCCCCAAAAAAAAATAAAAAAATAAAATTGAAAGCCTTGGAAAAGAGAAAAAAGCCTGTCTGGAGTGCCTGGCCGATGTTGCGACATTGCACCAGCGCTTCTCAGATTGAGCTCTCTTCTTTACTGTTCCCCGTCTGTTTACACGGTTTGTTCTTGCAGCTTTGTCTGTGGGTATGGATTGCATGAGCTACACCAACACCACAAATGTTTCCCTTATTGCAGTGTGACAAATCAATGTCCCATTTGATATGGCCGATAAAGAACTTCACACCATGCTGCTACGGGTGAGGTCAGTCACGCTGGCACGAAAGCTGCCTACCCTTTTATCTTTTGTCCTTTCCATTTCCCTCCACATGGGGAGGGGCGCAATGAGGACCTTTTCAAGTGTCAATTCTGTGGGACGCGGCCTTGTGCAATAAGGATCTTTCAAGTGTCAATTCTGTGGGATGCGGCCTCGTGCCTACCCTTTTGTCTTTTGTCCTTTCCAGCCTTGTGCAATAAGGATCTTTTAAGTGTCAATCTGTGGGATGCGGCCTCGTGCCTACCCTTTTATCTTTTGTCCTTTCCATTTCCCTCCACGCGGGGAGGGTCGCAATGAGGACCTTTCAAGTGTCAAGTTTGTGGGACGCGGCCTGGTAGCCCTCGTTGCCAGCAGGTATTTGGTCCCCACCAATGGGACGGGATCACAGCACCTTTCAAGTGTCAATTTTGTATGACTAGACCTGAAATGCGGGGGGGGTCCCAAGATCTGAGATCTAATTAAATGAAGAAGGAGCAAACAAAAAAGAAAGAAAAAAAGCTGAGATTTCAAGTAGAAAAGAAATCTTTGGCTGGCGACCGTGCACACACAATCTTTCCTTGGGCGGAAACAATACATAATCTTTGCCTTGTTCTCGGAAGAAGCAGTGCACACACGCAGCTGGGCACGATTTCGAAGGCACGGAAAGGCACGGAGCACTGCAAAAAGGTCAAAGCATCCTACGGGGATGTAGCATATGCAAGTTTTTGGAAAAAACTTGTCACAGTGCCACCCTTCTGTCTTGTCTTGGTCAGAAGCAGCACTCCAAGAGACGTTGCTCCGCTGCAGCAAACATCTTGCCTTGGGAAGACTCACCATATCAAGGTGCCTTGCTGTTGCCTTGCTGTGCTGCAGCACGCTGTCTTGCCTTGCGGAGAATTAGCACACATAGGTGCAATCGTGTTTTTCTCGCTCTCTGGATAAACCCTGGAACTTAAAAGCGCTCCTGCTAACGAGGAGGAAGGGCTAACCGTTGAGTTGTTGAAAGTGGCCATCGATGGGGATGGGTGGGTTTTCGATCACCTTCCTCATGAACGGCAGTCTGATGAGTGATTTATTCCTGGGGCACAACTCTCTATTCTTTCCCACTTCCATTTCATCATCCTCCCTCCCCCCTCTTCTCCTCTTCACCTAACCTCGAACCCCTAACCCCTGGGATGCTCATGGTCTAGTGAATGGCTTACCCCCTCTTGTAGTCCGTAAAGGGGGGGTCTTTATAGCTTCAAAATAGGAGTGGAATAAAGATGGTACTAGGACAGAGGAGGAAGTTAATTGCCACCGCAGGGCTGTTTTCTTTTGGGACTGAAGTTTACACGGGGGGAATTGCCCTCAATTTACCACGTTTGTAGGCACATTTGGGACTCTTGTCTCCCACTCACCTCTGACCCCTACCCATTTTAGGTTTTGCTTTAACTGAAGCTATTGCTTTATTCGCCTTAATGATGGCTTTCTTAATTTTATGGGCGACCGCGACACTACCAAATGAATTGCTCCTTTGCACTGTTTGTAGAAATGGAGGATTCTAACTCTATGCGCGTGGTACTTAAATGGAATGGTGAGGGTTTAGTTAGGGTTTAGGGTTCCTGGGACCTGGTGCTAACCAAAAGAACATGCAAAGAGATGAGAGGGACACAAGAAGCGATGAGAGGCAGATGGATCCATATATCGTGGGCGACGATAATAGTTGGAAAGATATTTTGAGCCATGACAAGACTGTCACGATGGGTTAACACCGAATCATCAGGAAGTTACAGAAGTGCTCCTGTAGAGGGGGCAGGAGGACCCTCCGCAGGAGCACTCCTGCCCCCTCTGCAGGAGGAATTGGCAAACTGGTAGGCAGGATGACTCTATTCCGTGGAGTTTGATGAATGGACTGGCGTCGTCCCCTGAGCACAACACACCCTCACCATGACTGAAATCGATTGGAAAGATCATGATGAGGGTGCATTGTGTTCGGGGGAAGACGGTAGTAACACAGGGTGCTTTCTTTTCTGTTTTGTTTTTTGGGGTTAGCCCCTAACCTGATTGTATCCATCAGGATTCGAACGCATGACCTGTTTATTAACAGTTTTACATGTGTTGGACCATTCAGCCATAACCACCATGTTCATTGCTAACTCAGCAGAAAACATACCATGAATGGACTCTGGTCTCCATCCAACAGTCCACATGCAAGTCATGGAACTCAGCGCAAACATTACCATGGCAAGGAGCTTTGGTTGTCATTCCTCGACAGGGTTTTCTTTCTTTTCCTGTCCCCTTTTGGCTTTACTTTTTTAGGTAATACGGAAAAAGGCCAGCGTAGCGTGTCTGTCATTGGTTGAAGGTCTTTTGGCCTCCAGTTCGGCCCAAGATTGATGTTGTTTGTTGCTAATCACTGCCGTTCTGTGCTACTCGCAAAGATAATGAGTTGGAGACCGCATACGAGTCAGTTTGTGGGTGGTTTTGTGCTCATTGAGAATTTGAAATCGAATGCATGACTTGGGGGGCAGGTGCCACTGAACTACGAGCTTGCAAGGATAGCAGAGTGGGATCATCCTTTCCAGCTTTTGGTTGGTACCCACAGTTTGATAAAAGCCCTGTGATATTGTGAGCTCAGCACATCCTTCTGTGATTTTGTGAGCTCAGCACATCCTTCTGTGATTTTGTGAGCTCATCACATCCTTTACTCCACTGGTCATGGGTTTTAGAGCAGACCTAAGTGAAGCTGCAAACCTAAATGGTCCCTGACCTGTCTGTGGTTTCGCAGAAGTTCAGGTGAGGCTTATGGAGTTTTCAGCAAGCAATTATGTCTAAGCGAAGATGTTTGTCAGAGCCAGCAATCAAGTTCGGAAGTGGACAGTGCGAGAACATCGTTCAGGACTGCTTCTTGCAGTGGAACAGGTATTTTGGCCGGGGAAATGTTGCCATGTAATGCCGTAGCAAAGAGACAGCCCGGCAAGAAAACCGTTTTGGAGCAAATCATACAAGACATCGAAGGAATTGTGCAGTATGGCGATGGTGGTAAGATGCGACCAGCAGAAGATGTGAAAGCTGATATGGTAGCTCAGGCAGCCATGCAAATTCCTCAACATGGTAATAATAGAAGTAAGAATTCTATGTATGCTTCTGGCAAAGGGAACTGTCAAAGCGCTGTTGAGGATTTGAAGGATGCAAGGACAGGCTTGTTTGTCTCTCCTGCGAGAGGCAAGAAACTTGATGAAGGTTTTCAGCATAGGGCTTCATTCGCTGCTCCTGCACGAGATGAGAAACTCGACAAAGGTTCTGTTCAGAGGGCTGATGTGGTAACTCAGGCAGCCATGCAGATTCACCGAAATGGTAATAGAAGTAGGGATTTCATGCACGCTCCTGCCGAAGGCAATCATGAAAGGACTACTGACCATTTTAAGGATGCAAGGACAGGCTCGTTTGTTGCAAATGCACATGACGATCACGTCCTTCACGCACTGTCAAGAACTGCTGCGGGGCAGTCTGCTGATCAGCGCCATACTGCAACAGTCGGCGATGCACATCTCCCTGTGGAGGTGGATGTGAAGCTTCGTCATCACTTAGCCTCAAATCTGGATGTTAGGGAAGAGAGGGTAGCAAACAAGTGCGATTATGGTAACAATATCAGTAAGAGAGGAAAACCTGATCGATTTGTGCCCGACGAGTGGCGCTCCAGCACAGGCACCTCTAGGAAAGATGGTCAGACGAGGAGAATCAGCAAGGACTGGCCGCCCTTTCTCTCAGAAGTGGACAGGCTCCGTGAACCGAGAGCAGCACAATCGAAGACAGTAGTTAGTGAAAAGGGAAACACCGTGGGGAGTGCAACTCGTGACGGGGAGAAGGTGGTGGATTCCAAGGCTGTTGTGCCTCTGGATTTTGCAGAGGCACAGTCGACTCCAGGTGGTGGGCAAGGGGAAAATCGGAGAGAGTTGGTGGCTGAGGCGGGGGTGATGAATAATGGCGGTGGTGATGGCAGACAAAAACCGCTGTGCAAGTCCTGGTGTCATGATTCGTTGTTCTCTCCTGGGGATGCCTTTTGGGATGAAGCAGTTGCCCTTGCAGATGAGGCAATTGCGAAGAGAGAGGCAGGCCTGAGAATTGAGGATCGGAAGGGAGAATCAAGCTCGACGGGGGGGGAAGCTTCAAAGAGTCCGCATCACATCGTGCTTGAGAAAGGTGGTAATAACTGCTCCCGGGATGCAAAGGTGAATGGTCGTAGCGGGAAGACACGTGGAGATGGCACACAGAGGGAAATAGGTACCTGTGAGGCATCAGTTGACCCTGATGCTGGAAGCAGCGGAAAACAAGCATGCTCACCACTTCCTATCAAGAAGATTGATTTCGCAGTCGCAGATATATCTAAGGAGTTGGAGTTGCCAGAAACAGTTTGTGAATCAGGCTCCTTGCCAGTGGCGATGCTGGTCAGTCCAGTACACAAGCATACTGTGCAGGCTTTCTCTTCCGAGTTGCGCGTTGAGCAGCACTCGCACAGAGTCCTAGATGATGCACAAATGTTATCAGGAGTTACAAAGGATTCTGTTTTGGAGGGGAGCCGAGGCATTCAGGTAATGGGCAGCCAGGCCATTGTTGGTGCTTTGCAATTGAAGCAGGCCCCTCTCACGGGCAAGACATCCGAGGAGAGGGAAGCACCAGGAAGGGTAAACGGAGGAGGAGGAGGAGATTTGGCTGCAGGTGAGCCTCTGCATGTAGTTTCTAGCCACACAGGCAACATGGAGCCATGCATGATGAAAAATTTAAGCACTATTGCTTTGCCACTTAAGGGTTCATTGTCTTATGACTCCGTGGTGAGACTTGGTTCAAGCACTGATGGTGCTGAGGATGTTGACGTTCACCCACAGGTTCCGAGTATGGAAGAACCTCTTGGGGTTGGTTATGGAACACAACAATCTGTTTGCTCAAACGGACCAGAAAGGCCATCGTTAAGGAGTGAGATCAATCATCCAAGCGTCATTGTTATTGATGGTGCACATGCGCCTACAGGCGGGTCAAGAGATGTAGGGAATGAGGATCATCAGCTTGAGGGGTTAGAACCAGCTGGTAATCCTTGTGTCTCCTTGAAGGAAGAGCCAGCAGCAAGTGAGAGCTGTAGAAGTGCTGCTTCGCAGGGTGCCGCTGGGATCACGGAAGCTGCACCTCATAATCACGCTTCTGCCCCTGGCAATAGTATCAAGGAAGCAGATTCGGTGGGCGTAAGAGGAGACAACCCTACCTTATGTAATCCATCAGGAGGACAGCCTGGGGATGCAGTTGGGAATCTTAGTGATAGAGGAACAGGTGAAGAGACCCTGGACAGATGGCTTCCTAGTGAGGTTTCTGCAGTTTATGCCAAGAAGGGTGTAAAAACAATGTATCCCTGGCAGGTGAGTGTCTCCTAGGAATTGCTCTCTCTCTCTCTCTCTCTCCCTCTTTCTTTCTCTCTCTTTCTCTCTCTCTCTCTCTTTCTCTCTCTTTCTCTCTCTTTCTCTCTCGCTTGCACTCTGTGCGTGTGTGTGTGTGCACGTTTTGTCAGGTTCGCTTTAGTGTGTGTGTTATCGGAAATCCCGAAGCCAACCTCAACCCGTTCCAACCTAGCAGCTGGTGCCTACGGACCCGTCTGCTTATAGCACGCACTTGCACCCAAAGATTAGCTACCGAAAAAGTAAGCCCTCAAGCAATCGGCATCAGGTGAAAGAAATCAGTGGCCACCACCAAATATAATATAGCGGCCTCAAGGCGCAAACCCTTGAGGGCCAACGTTCCTACAAAGCAAAAAAAAGCATTCAAACGGCCTGCAAAAAAGAAAAGCCATTCAGACAACCATTTGAATCACACAGTTGGAGACATGCATGAAAAGTGATCAAGCCTCTGCTAGTTGCCATGATGGCGGGTACACATGACTTCGGCACTCACTAAGACACACCTTTGGCCCTTGTCCTAGGGATACAACAATTATCAATGTTGGTGGGACGATGACTATTTCCCAGCCAATGGGGCAAAATGTCGGTTTCCCTTCACTGAAGTAGTGATACATTCAATTTTTGGCCTCGATGAGGGCACCACATGCTGAAAGCAAAAGTGTAAGTTTCCCCATGTCCACCAGTGTGTAAACTTGGGTGGATTCCAGCGGCAGGTTGGTCCATTCCACTGTTATAGCAGCATCTCTATGAGTGCTTACGTGCTGGAACTCATTTCCAGGACCCTGGAGGACAAGGAAGGTGGTCATGTTGCACGAATCGGCAGATTCGTGCTTAAGAGAGTTCAGGGAATGGAAGAAGAAGGCTCTGACACAAGCACAAGTGTGCTGGAGTTGACAGAGGTGGTGGAGAAAGTGAGAGCAAAGAGTTGAGGGCCTTAACTTCGACCTTCCAAAGCTGCTCTAAACCCCTCAGCCCGACCTGACCATTGGAGTCCTTACCTCTTTAGGCATGCTTTGTGAATCCCCTGTTCTGTCCCGTATCCTGTTTCCAGCCCGTTCACTAAAGTCTCAGAGAAGAATGGCTGTGCCAGTGTTCGAAGACCTGTTAAGTTACTTGCTGTGTAGCTTACGAAAGAGTTCCACTTTCTTTTCTTTTTTTCTTTTTCATGCGTGTCATCCTTGCGCAGAGGCCATGCTAATCTTCTCTGTATCGTTCCATTTTTAACGGATGCCGCGAAGGACGAGTTCCACTTTTAGTGGAATGTAATGAAGCCTACTTGGCTTTGGTATTCAGTCTTAATGAGGAAAACAGAACATGGGTTTCACCGGAGTGGTATTCCAATTTTGAATCCTGTCTTCGATTTTGTTGTATCTCTTCTAGTGCGACATGGTTGGGGAACTGACATTGGAGTACTGTGTCTGGACTGTCGTTCTATGGATGGCTCTCTGCAGAGGGAGTGCCTGATGAAGGAAGGTGTTCTGCGGGGGAGAAATCTTATATACTGTGCGTCTACAAGGTGTGTTGTTCTCCATTTGATATTGTCCCCCCATCCAGTTGCATGCCTTTGTCTGGAGTGCTTACATGGACCCTCATGGGATTTTTGCAAACAACATCGCAATTGATTGAGATCAGGTCATAAACGATGACCATTGCCGCTACCACTTCGCTGAGACTCTTGAAACTCTTCTTCTTCTTCTTCTTTCCTTATCCTCCTCCTCCTCCGGTTGTTGTCATTGTTACGATGTTTTTTTTTTTTGGTTTGTTTTGTTTAGCCTGTGAGTTGGTGGGTCAGTGGGTCAGCCGCTGGATTGGTTGCTGGGCCAGCATGTGGGTGTGTGCGAGGGTGGTGTGAGAGGGGCAGTTGATTGACCAGTGTTGTTGTTGTTGTTGGCTTTTGTTTGTGGTGGTCCGATGTTGTTGCAGTGGGCAGTGTCATCGTTGGTGCTCTGTTTGCTGTTGTGCTTCTAGTCCAGACCCATTGTGACCCAATCTTGAGTTCAAAAGATCACTAATTAGTAATTACTTCATCAAAAAAGAAGTTGAGAACCCTACTTCTGAAACTCAGACCCCAAAGGCAGGCTTGCTGAATGCTGACTATTGTGAGTGAGGGAAAGAGCCATGCTAACCTGGGGTTGGCCCTGAGACATGCAGTGGAAACATGATTATGTGGAGAACCATTTGACTTTTTATCTACGGGATTGCCAGACGAATCGGCTAGCGGGACTCGAACCCACGAGGCACGAAGCGCTTCCACGTACCAAGTGTGGTGCGTAAACTAATTTGGCCATAGCCGTTTCTTTCCGGAATATGTATGCAAGTTAGTTGCCTGAAAGGACAATAAGCATGTCTATACTAATTCCATCTTTTTTTTTTTCTTGTTTTTTTTCAGTGCAGGCTGTCTAGTGTTCATTGGGGGACAGCTGCATTTACTGTTCTATTTTTTTCTCTTGTCATTTTTCAGCCACACACCACCTAATATACACTTGGCCAGGGAGACACTCCTAAAGGTTATGGGTCTACCAGACACTACCTACTGGGCAGCAACCAACTCTCCTCTATGCGGAGAGCAGTATCCGAGCTACTAACACCTGGCGCCGGCTGGAAAGTGCCTAAATTACTTCCACAACCAGACAGGAGGCCCAAGCCAACCATCTCCGCTGGTGAACCCGAAGCATGCCCCAGAAGACTGCGGGAGATCGAAAGGACGGCGTTGGGTATCGAACCCACGACCTCCTGAATGCCACTTACGTGCCCAACCAACTGAGCTAGCCCGCTTGGGCAATTCCATCATATCCTTATGGGTATAGCAGGATTTGAACCTGCAACCATTAGGTTAAAAGCCCAATGCTCTACCAACTAAGCTGTGTGCCACATTCAGGGCTACGGATAGCTCAGAGAAAAAAGCAAGCAAGGGAACAAAGGGCAGCAAGGCGGTCTCAATTACCTAGAAAGTAAAGAAGAAAAGAAAAACGAAGTGAAGCGTCTCAACGAGTTGATTGCGACCATGTGAGATCGGCGCGTGGCTATGATGGAGTGCGTGACGCGATCGGATCTGCGTGGTGGCCCGATCGACAGGGTGACGATCTCTAAAGTGATAGCTGGACTATTGGCACTTGCATGTGAGTGGGTTGATCGGTGGCTGTTGGCAGGCGTGCCATGTGTATGAGAGCAAGGTGAATCGGGTGATCTACTTCCCCCCTGAACTTGAGTGTATTCTGCGCAAATGTGGATGGCGACAGCGCCTTTAACGGGGGAAAACAAAAATGAAGCCTTCAGTCTTCTGGCTTTATCAGAATCTCAGTCCCTGATGCTATTTCCTGACACGCTGCTTGACGTCGGCTATGCAAACTGCATTGGACTTAAGTTACTTAACCGACCACTAGCTTTAGTGACCTATGGCCGTGGTTTTGGTTTGTCTGTGTTCTAAATTGTAGGAGGCCCTGTGCACATGGTCATGTCAAATAAAAAAACTGGATGGGTTAGTCTATTGCAGTGAAGTTTAGGCACTGCCAGTTTGTACCATGCGAGGCCGCTCTTTTCGAGGTACTGGTGCTTCAAGCGCTTTTTTTGTTCACAGGATTGATTTCTGGAGTCCAATGACAGACTCTTTTCAACGTATTGGTGCTTTAAGCACGTTTTGTTCACAGGATTGACTTCTGGACTCCAATGACAGGAATCTGTTTGCTTGTATTCAACTGTCCTCTTGCATTATTGCAGCGCAGGAAAGAGTCTCGTTGCGGAGGTGATAATGATTCGCCGGATTTTATCCACAGGAAGACGAGCGATGTTGGTTCTTCCATATGTTGCGTTGTGTGCAGAGAAGGTGCGTAGAAGTCGTCGACTCTTTTTTTTTTTTTTTTTTTTTAAACAGAACCTTAAGGTTCTGGCTCCATTTCCATTCTGGGGAGCATCAGTCCGGTTCCTATTCCCCAGGCAAGTCAAAAATGATTACAACAGGTACTCACACACCCTCCTCCCCCTTATGGTAGGAAGGCCCGCAAGACGGCATTGATTACTTCCCGTGGGAAGGATGTACCATCCTACACCCCTGCCTAAGTTAGCCTATTTGACTTACTCTTGGGCTTGTAAGGCCTCTCGGAGTTGTGGACTCTGTACTGTGGTATCTGTCTGTTGGACTGGCTGAGCTTTCCCTAGATCTACCTCTCAGCTGTAAGGCTGTCAGATCTGTGTGTGTTGCTGGTAGATCTTGGTCTGGCCTTCACTGAGTCTCTAACTGTGCCTTTAATAGTTCTAATATTCTAGAAGCTGTAGTATTTTTTTATCTTTAGATGGAGCGGGTGACTTTCCTCTAACGGCTAAATCCTAAGCCCTTATCTGTTTTCTGTCTAAGTGAAGGGGGGGGGGGGGGGGGGGGGATATTCCCGGGGGTATAGTCATGGCTGAGTGTTGTTCAGTATAAGGGGAGTTTAGAAGGTATGGGCTAAGCAAGTGGGTGTGGTCCTGATTTACGTCGTATATTAACAGATTATGGTTTTGAGGGTCATCCGTTACGAAAAGACTTTCCCTTAAGTGGATATGTGGAAGTACGATACGATGATTCAGAGAAACGTGTGATTTCTGAGCCTATTGAAATGACTCAAGAATTTCGTTATTTTGATTTTTCGAGTCCTTGGGTCCCTGGAGATGGATAGAACTAATAAAAAAAAAATGTAATCCCGGGTGAGAAGAGAGCATGAAATTTATGAACAAATTTGCTGGAGCGGAACTATCTACTTTATTAGAACAAAGAATTACAAATTATTACACCAAATTACAAGTGGATGAAATCGGTCGAGTGGTTTCGGTAGGAGATGGAATTGCACGTGTTTATGGATTGAACAAGATTCAAGCTGGAGAAATGGTCGAATTCTTCGTTGGAGTTGAAGTGGTTTGGGTTGGGGGGAAGCTGAGGGATGTACAGAGTATGGGTTTTGCTACTTAGCTGTGTGGCTTTGGGTGTGAGAGAGGTGACTGGTTGAGTAGTATTTGGGCTGTTTTTTGTGGAGTAGTAGGGAGGTTAGTAGGTGATGATAAGTGTTTGTAGGGGATTGAGGGGTTAAAGGGGTGTTTTATAACTGAGTTATGATTAGCCAGTTTTTAAGGGTTAGTCTGTCGTTTACGATGTTGCCGAGTAGTCCATTGCCTAGTTTGGATGCTGAGAATTTTTGTATAGCTAGGTTCTTTTTGTCAGGGTCAGCTGGGAGCTTTCTGAGTAGGTTTTTCCAGAGGGCGTGGATTTCTGTGTCAATTAGTTGTCTGATGATGATGAGTGGGTTTTCTGTGGTGGTGAGTCGGTCTTCAAAGGTGTTATCGCATCTGTTTTTCCATATGGCCCATAAGGTGCTTTTCTTGATTTGGGAGGCAAGGAAGGATTCGAAGCTTGTGAGTGGGGGTGTTTGTTTGTGATCGAGGAATAGTGTGGCCGGGTTGATTAGTAGAGGAGAGTTCGAAATTTTATGCCACGAGGTTTCAAAGGCTTGCCAAAGGGCTCTGGCCTTTGGGCAATCAATAAAACAGTGATTCAGGGATTCCGGGGTATTGAGATTGCATACTTTGCACCAGGAGTCTTGATCCGATCTGTTGTCTTGTTTGCGCCTCTTGACCAGCCATTGATTTACTGGGACCGCTCTGAATGCTATTAACCATCTCAGGCTGGATAGTTTTACAGGTCTTGTGGAGAATATTGTCGCCCAAGGAAGTGAGAATTGAGAGTTGGCTAGTTGTGGTTCCTCMTTCGTCCACCTATTGCGTAATGTGTTGGTTATTGATATGGGTTTGGTGAAGAGTCGGTAGCCTAGTTTGGGTATATAGTCAGTTAGTTTGTAAGGGTTGGGGGTGAGGGAGGATCCGGATGGGGGGTTCCATGTCCATTCAGTGGG